AAGGTCCCCTCAGAAGTCCTGGAGGTCCCCTCGGCCACCCGAGGTGTCCCCAAGGCCACCTGAGGTGTCCCCAAGGCCCCCCCGGGTGTCCCCTCAGAAGTCCCAGATGTCCCCAAGGCCACCCCGGGTGTCCCCAGGCCCCGTCCGGCCGTGGCCGAAGCCCCTCAGGCGTCGCCGCTCGCAGCGTCCGGCCCGGCCCAGCAGCTCCACCTGCACCGGCCGGGCCTGGTGGCCACCGTGGCCACCGAGAACCTGGCCCTGGTGGCCACCGAGAACCTGGCCCTGGTGGCCACTGTGGCCACCGACAGCCCGGCCCTGGTGGCCACCGGGGTCCAGGTGACCCTTGGGATTGTCCCCGCTGACCCCTTGGCCACCGGAGCTGCAGCCGCAGCCACCGCAGCCTTGTCCACCCTGCCAGTGGCCACCAAACCCACCCTGGTGGCCACCAAGCCCTTCACCACCACCCCAATGGCCACCACCACCATCCTGGTGGCCACCACCAGCTTCAGTCTTCCTGCTGCTCTGGTGGCCACCAACCCCATCTTGGTGGCCACGACCCCCTTGACCACCACCCCAATGGCCACCACCGCCATCTTGGTGGCCACCAACCCCATCCTGGTGGCCAACACCGACATCTTGGTGGCCATCAACCCCTTGAGCACCACGCCAATGGCCACCACCACCCTCCCAGTGGCCACCACCGCCATCTTGGTGGTCACCAATCCCATCCTGGTGGCCACCAACCCCTTGACCACCAACCCAGTGGCCACCAACCCCATCCTGGTGACCACCAACCCCATCCTGGTGACCACCAACCCCATCCTGGTGGCCACCAACCCCTTGTCCACCACCCCAATGACCACCACCACCTTCAATGTTCCTGCTCTGGTGGCCACCACCGCCATCTTGGTGGCCACCAACCCCTTGACCACCACCCCAACGGCCACCAAACCCGTCCCGGTGGCCACCACCCCCTCCCCCCGCCTCCTTGGCCACCCTCACCCCTCGCTTGCCCAAGGCCAGCTTGGGCCGCCCCCTGTCCAGCGCGTCCAGCAGGACGCAAGCCATGCACGTGTCCCCGCTGGCCACCGCCCCGCAGCGCCCGCAAGCCCCCGCCGCCGCCCCCGGGGCCGCCCCCAGCGCCAAACGCCGGCCCGAGTGCGCCAGGGCGGCCACCGCCGCCGGCCTGGTGGCCTCCAGGTCCTTCAGGAGCGCCCGGGGGTGGCCGCGGAAGGCCAGGGGCGCGTGGTGGCACTCGGCGCTGGCGTACGGTAGCCCCCGGAAGTGGGCGTAGAGGACGATCTCCTTCTGGGCCGCGTGGCGCAGCGGCTTCAGCCGCGGCACCGGCGGCCGCGGGGAGGTCCTGGGGGGGCGGGAGGGTGGGGTCCGGGGTTCTGGTGGGTTCTGGTGGGGTTCCGTTGGGTTCTGGTGGGGTTCGGGTGGGTTCTGGTGGGGTTCGGGTGGGTTCTGG